ACCATTACACGTGATAAGAGATCGAATCTTCAAACTAGAGGAGAAATATTATGCAGATCTCTCTCCATATATATCCAACCAGGAACCCACAACATTGCTCTGAAGAAGAAATTCCAGAAGTTCCAGATGCCACACCTCAATTTGCATCGTTACTTAACAATCGATCGTCAGGGTACGATCTGTTCAGCTGCCCCCAAGCGTGAGAACCGCATGCGCCTCTCGTTACATGCCTACTTCAAGGCCAACATTTGCCCCCGTTTACTTCAACGGGGACTTTGTTGAAAACTCATTTCCTTAGAGCTGCTTTTTGCGTTTAGTTTTTTGTCACCTCCCCCCGGCACCTCCGATTAGCGCAGTTTGCTACATACGGTTCGAAAGACGTTCAACATACATACACAGCAGCCTCACTTCATTTAATGCCGAGCTCCGAGGGGCCGGCACTCAGGTAATGGACATGGGGGAAATGGCTCATTCGCCCCACCAGGGGTGCGACACACAGCCCCCCACCCCAGTGTCAGGGGCTGGTAAAAAAATGTATCGGTGATCAAGCCAATACACGTTGGGCATAGCAGACTTCCGTCCTGTACAGGTTGGTTCAGATGTCTTGTAAACCTCATTAAATTCTATAAAACTTAACATTTGATAATTGGTTCTTTACCCTTCTACCTGGCAACAAAACTGATACCAGTTTTGTTGCCAGGTAGAAGGGTAAAGAACCAATTATCATATTTTTACTGGCAAATGAGGTCCCCATAACTTAACATTTGTTTTATATACCAATGTGTGTGTAGTGTAATTAATTTCCCCCAAAAAAATGTTCGGGTTCGATTCATTGGGAGATCACAAGACATTTGGACCATCCTAAACATGGCGACGGTGAGAGCTCGAGCGGGAGGATACACGCTGGACAGGAGCAGACCGTGCAATACTCATTCTGTCGTTTGTTGAACATTTGTTTAAAGTTTGTCTAACGCCGACTTGTGTTGTGGCCACCCCGCCACCTCCCCCCAAGACTTTTGTTTCGGCCCTCATCTAAACAAGCTCACGCCCGCACAACAAGACAGGGGGGTGTGACGTCTGTGGGTAGCACACGCCGCAACCTAACGGCGAGGTGGTAATAACAGTAATCATCTCCTCCGTTTGAAAAAGCGCCTTTCATATTGATGTACATCTCAAAGCGCTGTGCATACACGTAAACTACACTCACAAATATAAATCAAATCTAAGCGAAATAGAAAGCTGATCACAACAATATTGACTGCTCTCCAAATTCCAATAAAACTAAAGACCTATGATGAAAGCGAATAATAACTGCACCACCCGCGGAGACTTTGGAATACAGCCGCGTGCACCGACTTAACTTAATTGTTGACGGCGCAAAAAAACCACGGAGGTGTCACGAGCAAGGAGAAAGCAAAGGCACGGAAAATGCAAGCGTTAGCACCCAACTCCACGCACCCTTAAGTCTCGACCTGTCAAGCAGCAGTCGTTGGGAACGCCTCGAGAATCACGCGGAGTGCCTCTGTGTGGGGTCTCAGAGCCTTGAGAATGATCCCTCAAGAAAGGAAATGGTGCTCTAGTCTGGCTGAATGAGAAACAGGCATTGACCATTGAGTTCCAATAACCTTAATCTGGCTCTACAAGCCTCGGGCATTCAGAATGTGTGTATGGTGAAGTTATTTCGCACCGTACGCAGCCAACCGTGCTAATCGGAGGTGAGGAATGAACCCCAATGTTCCTAAGGGTGCTTCGGTGTGGCCTCGATGACAGAGGAAAGTGTCAACTTTAATGGACTACTTATCTTCCAAGGGATGCCTTAAGATGCTTTAGTCAGGCTCTGCAAACCTCAGGCGCTGTGATGACATTCATCCTGAACGATCTTCAATGCTACCCAAGTCAAACTCTGTCGACGTTGGGTATTAACAATAAACGTGAAGAATCCGAGTGGTGACTTAGGTAGTTGACCATTGTGTGTGGCTCAGGAATTAACAGTGAACTCTTAACAATTATAATGGAACATCGAAGCTTGAAGCCAAAAACATAAAGCAGCTCACAGAAGAATTCATCCCAAACATAACAGTGGACAGCGACTCATCACCACCTTTGCAATTCTATGAATCTGATAATAGGGTTTTCCCCTTTTTTCTGGCAACAAAACAGGTGTTAAGATGTAACACCAAACTGAAATCTTTTACAAGGAATCATGTCTGCATTAACCACAATGCTTGTGGTGAGAATTCAAACAAAAAACATACTCTGATTTAAAAAAAAAAACACTCTGATTCTATGAATAGTAAAGATCTGGAGGGGGTGGAAGGGGTCCCAATTAAATTTAATAATCGATCATTTTTTTGTCACGATGGTGAACAGAGTCTGCAGTGATTACAGGGGTTTACAGGAACAGATTACATACATCACACACAAATACTTAATAATCGATTCTCGCACGCGCATATCGACGCATGTTTCACGAGCGTAAAGAATCGATTTTAAATAATCACGTGTGAATTGTTAAATACCACGACACTTACGGTGCACTTATGGTGCAAAAGTATAACGCGTACCAGATAAAGGCGCAGCCCTGCGATTGCTTGCTCACCACCACTGCTGATGAAAGGGCCTTCACTCGAGGGAGCTCCTGAGCTCCCATCTAGAGGGTATTTGTCCGACTATTTCGCACCGGCCAGACATCTCGGAAAAGGTGGAGCACCCACATTTTATCTGACCACACGTGATCTAACTGTGGCATTCCCATGTATACTGCCGGGTGAACAGAGGTGGGAGCCGGGGGGATTTTTAAGGAACTTGATCAAAACTGCCGCGCCAGGAGATGGAATCAAACCTGCAACCTCTGGATTGCAAGTCGAGGGTACTAACCATTACAACACCACTGCGGTGGTGACGTCCTCCTCCCAACGCAATGCATTTACTCTTATTTCACTAGACAGACATGGGTGTCAGGGCAAACAGCCTTGGCTATTGATACCAAAACAACAAACAAAACAAACAAAAAAGACCACTACTCATGCAGCAGGCTGCTCGCCCAACGCAGAGCGCTCGCCAGAGACAAAAACACGGAAGCAAAACAATCTTGTTTTTGGTGCAGGGGGCCAAAGGCAGCAGCACCCATTTGTATTCACAGAAATCTATCGACCAACATTGGCTGCAGTTTTCAAATAGGGTACCATCGATTTAAAAACCTCGCACCTGTGCATTTTTCAGTGTGAGACTACACACACGCACATCGCACGCTTGCATGTAAGAGAATTGGTTGAGAAACGAAAGTGAAGGGTGAAGGTGCTGGTGCTTGTGCAGTTGTGACAGCTTCTTGTGTAAGGGAAAACCAGGGCCGGATTTTTGGGAGGTGGGGAGGGGGGAAGATGACATTTGTCCAGGGTACAACTCTGAATAAGGTCCCACAAAGTAAAGATTTTTTTCTGAACAAAATTAGGACTGTTTATTCATATTATCCTTTTAATATGAACAATATAAACAATACTATCTTCATTGGAGTGTGTACCGCAATAGATTGGGGTTTTGTGTATTTACATGTCAGGAGAAGGGGTGGTCTTGTCTGTTCTAGTGTGAGGGACAAGGAATTAAAATCCGGCCCTAGTGACCACCTGTTGATTGATGTATGTCTGGAGCTTCCAAAATGCCAGTCCCTCACGTCTTCGAACTGCTCCACGTCGACAGCAGCAACACCTCCACTTTTTTGAATGCCGCTTCTTAGCTCAGGCCCAAATACTCAACATGTCAAGCAGGCAGCGACAGATCGCGCTATTAAAGATGTGATAGATAAGAGTAACACGTTTCTTGAATTCAGCAAGGTTATAAGAGACAATGAGAGAAAATTCTCAAATGCAGCGGTGCGAGGGAAGAAGCAGAGCGAGAAGTGTTGTGACCTGCAGTGTGGTAGGTAATTTGGTGAGCGTGTTGTTGTGACCTGCAGTGTGGTGAGCAGGTGAGTTGTCGTGACCTGCAGTGTGTTGGTTGAACACTGTGTCGATGAGGCACGAGAGTCAGTCTGGTAGACCAAGTCCTCAACATGGGTGGAGAGTTCAATGAGTGAGATGTGACATGTGGGCTAAGATTTATCTTTATATTTTACAACATCCCAGTCTGCACCTCAGTGCACACTCAACACACTCGTCGTTTCCTATAGAAGCGTCCTGCTGATCAAATGAGCAATGGCGGCTTACACTTATCGCCATTGACAGTCCTGAACGAGCCATGAAGAATCCACATCCCTACGGTGGGACCAATCTCACCGTTGACTTCCCACAAAGTGGTACCTCCCACTTGCTTATTGAGCCTGGAGAGATGACAACGACGATTTTGATAACAATGGGCTCAATTGGCCCCTGACTTTGACCTTGTGAACTCTGGATTGTGAGTCAGGCAGTCTGCCACAGCACCGCATATAGCAAGGGTCATCTACAAAATCATGAAGAATAAGCCCTCCCTCACAGAACGGGGTGAAACCTTAAATATTTCTAAACTACACTCCTCCCTCGACCACCCGGTCACGAGTGACCTCAAAACCGTTGATCCAACAAAGCTGCATACATTGTCAGTGAGTGACATTACTCAGAATTTACGAAACTATTCCCATAGGAACACGAAGAAAGTTCGGAAATGTCTAAAACTATGTAAGTTTACCATAGGATGACATTTTTCATCCGTAGCTTTTTTGATCAAGTTGAAAGGTCTTAGGTCACACGTAGCTCAGTGTCAATACCATCGGTCCCTGGTTATTTCCGGTCAGAATGAGCCTTCACTCGCCTACAAGTGCTGTGACTGGCAGACGGACTCACAACAGACGAGAAAATCTTTTTTTTTATAATGTAGACTAGATGGCAGCCCATCCTATGGACGGGGTAAATCTTCCTCCACGTGTAAGACTCTGGAGGGAGAGACAACCGCGTGGCCGCACGCAGGGGAGCTGGAGTTTGGGAAGCTCCGAAGCTACCGGCGCGTACGAGGTGCGGTTCTCGTACCGCTCACTCCGTTGGGGTAGCCGAGCCCACGGATCTGCTGCTGGTGCTGCTGCTGCTGCTGAGCATCCACAAGGTCCTCTGCAGACGCCCTCAGCTGAGCCTCCCGGGCAACAGCGTTGGCACCTCCTTGTGCCGCCACCGCCGCCGCTGCCGCCGCCGCCTTGTGCTGGTGATCCGGGCTGCTGGTGCTGCCGCTGCTGGACGAGCTGCTGCTACTGCCGTCGCCTCCGTCTCGCACGATCGCCCCGCCAGCCGGGGTCCCCGCGCCCGGCGAAGGCGCTGCCACGGCCGCTGCCGCAGCGACGACTACGCCGGCGGGTGCACCGACGCCACCCGTGGGGGCGACGGCGCCGGTGGCGCCCGTGAGGCTTGTCTGGCTGCCCACGGAGCCGCGGCTGCCTGCGGCGCCACCGTTACGCTCCTCGTCCAGCATGAGGCAGAGCTCCTTGAGGTCGGAGTTCTCGCGCACGAGCGCGTCCTGGCGCACCTCCAGCTCGCGCAGGCGCCGCTGCTGCGCCGCCACCTCCTTGCGCAGCACGGCGGCTGTGTAGCGCCCGAAGCGCTGCCACTCCCATGCCAGCTTCTTTGCCTTCTGCCGGTCGTCGTCCAAAAAGCAGCAGAGGTCGCGCAGCTCTTGCGCGTCGTCCTGCAGCCGCTGGTTGACGTCCTTGAGGCCGCGGATCTCGTGCAGGTGAGTCTGCAGGCGGCGGTTCACCTCCTTCATCAGGTTGCCGTGGTCCATCATCAGCGACATCTTGTCGGCCTCGGACTTGCGCAAGCGCCGCACCAGCTCCTCCTTGCTCCAGCGCAGCAGCTCCTCGTCGGGCAGCTTTGACAGGTTCTCCTTGGCGTCCTCGCCGCTCTTCGCCATGACGGTCACCGTCGAGTGCGATCGGTGGGGTGCGCCGGGGCCTATGGTCCTCCCGGCCACTTCGCAAGACGGGCTCGGTGTCTCTGGATGTCTTCTCGGTGTGGCTCGATGCGACAGCGGCTGCTGCTGAGATGCTGAAGTGATGAGTATGATGCGTGCACTGTGATGGGGGTGTATGCTGAGGTGTATTCTACTTCGTAAAATATGTAGGTAGGTCTCCCCCCTTCCAATATCTTAGTGTCGATTTACGCTCACCTAGTAAATGAGAATAAACTATGAGATATATACACTTATCACCCGTTCAAAATACTTATGTGAATGGGCTCTCTACAAGTAAAGGATAGTAAACGAATAAAGATGTACACTAGTTACGAGAACGCTCTTGCAAGTCTTGTATCAATAGGGTTTCTATTGGAAACGGCTACTCCAATCTAATACATATTCAGACATTATATACACACAACCCTTACACACCACCAATGAGATCCCACTTAGGTAAAGAACAGTAAACTAATAGATCTAAGACTTGCATCAAATGGGCTCTGTATTAGCAAAAGTAATACAAAATATACACTATACACGGAATTAGCCTTCGAAGTATTTTATCATTTCGCGTTCTATCTAGCCTAGTAAACAGATAACATTAAATCGTGATAATATTCACGCAGTTACAAGAGAAGGAACTGCCTGTCAAGAGCCCGGTGTCAAATGGGCGATTTATTCAGTAGAGGCCACTAAAATAAATCCGTCTATGTATATTGTAAAGATATATAGACTGCACATTCTCTCTCCTGCATACAATGTGCAGATATAGGTATCTGCCTCGGCTGGTAACAGTATATACTCGTCTGATTACTGCATACAGTACTATTAAGAGTGTTGTGTTACAATATACACAGAAGTGAGCAAAAACTGTTTACACTCCATAATGAATTAACAATCCTCCAGTATGTCCAAAGCGCGTACAGTAGTCTTTACTGCATTGCATATGCAATGCTACAGTATAATTTCACGTCACTATATTATACAGTGCAGTGCATAGACCAACATTAGACGGAATGCATTTGTACACTGTGTTGAAACCTAGAATAACGTAGTTTGATTACTCACTACTTAAAACGATACACAAACTAATTGTTGTAAATGAGTACTGTAACGCAGCGTACGGCATACAGTCAATCACGACAGTATACATATACTGTATTGTACAGGAAAACCAAAACGCTGGTCGATAGATATACCCCGAATGATTAAATCCCAGAATGGTAAAATGAAGACGTCAACAATAATGAAACCACTGCGTGTGTGTGTTGTGATGGAATGGTGGTGGGTGAGGTTGGCCGGTTTAAGTCTCTGCTCAAAGCGAGGTCCAATGACGTCTCCACAGCAGCCGGCGTCTTTCTCCTGGCGGTGCTCCCCCCACCTCCTCCTCGTCTCCTTCTCCTCCTCTTCCCCTTCTCCTCCTCTTCTCCTGCTCTTCCCCTTCTCCTCGTCGTCGTCGTCTCTACAAACTCCTCAATCCGCCCTCAAGTCACCTCCCATCCCATTCATTTCAATGGTGGCAAGCAGGCAGCGCTGAGGTAAATTGTACTTCATAATTTTTTAAAAATCATTATTACAAACATATAGAATACTGTTAGAATAAAAAAAATAGTGTTGTGTTTGACCCGCGATGTTTATTGAGCGGACGAGAGCGATTATCCCGCGATCGGCGGTGTTTGGCGGCTCTGAGGCGAGCCGAGTCCGCGCTCTGAGGCGCCGCGCGCGCGAGCCCCGCGGCCTTTCCCGCGCGTTACGTCACTTCCGGCGCGAGGCCCCCCCCACCAACCGTCGCACAGGCCAAGCCCCGCCCCTCATAGCCCGAGCCCCGCCCCTCATAGCCCGAGCCCCGCCCCTCATAGCCCGAGCCCCGCCCCTCATAGCCCGAGCCCCGCCCCTCATAGCCCGAGCCCCGCCCCTGAGCTCCAGCCCCACCCCTAAGCCGAATGATTCGATAACACTGTGGCACCGATACCTCGTAAGAAACGTTTCGGACAATGGCCCTTATTCATGGTGTAGTGCAGTATATAAAGAAGGGCCATTCTACGACATAAGCCCCTCCCCCCTTTGCACCTAAGCCCCGCCTCTTCCCCATAAACCACGCCCCTCCCACAATCACCGCCCCCCCGTATTCACTCCACTTATCCCCTCGACAATACTGAGCCTCGACATGACCACGTGCGTCGATTGTTCCATTCAACTCGTAGCGCCCCCCAGAGGCAGTCCACCACACAGGTGACAGGGGTCTTCACAGGGGTCAAGGGGACTTGGGCTCAATCCCCCAGGGTCCCAGAGTGCGCGTCTCCCTCTGCGTCTGACTCACTGCACAGACAGCCGGCAAGAGGTGGCGTAGCGCCCCCTAGTGGGGTAGCCCCCCAATGGGGTAGCGCCCCCCAGTGGCGTATGATAGGCGACGTTTCGGTCCACGGTGTCTGGGAGCTGTTAACTACCTCGCCTGGTACGCAGGAGGTCGTGAGTTCGATCCCAACCCTGACGCCTGCTGCTGCTGCTGTTGTTTATTTTGAGTTTGCGTCTCTCTCTCTTTCTCTGTGGTCGCGTGGGTTTTCATCCGAGTCCTCCGGGTTTCCCCTCCACATGTATAATTGACATCACGCGTTTAGTGTATTTGGCTGCGATACATTTCTACACCGTGATGATGATGATAAGACACTTTGTTGAGCTATCATTTGTGATCGCTCACCGAAGCTACACAGATCCGTGGGGCCTTACCTGGTAAGATACAAAATAGATAGTTTTTAGATGCCAGAGAGGTGGAGCGAGTGACACACGTGGACTCGACCCGCTCACACGCAAGTCGCCCCTGAGACAGTGCTGACGGACTCCGAAGCGAATGCAGCCAACACGTCCTTCATGGACCAAGCACGCAGCCTCATCACCAACATCACCACCACCTACACCATCATCATCACCAACATCACCAACAGCCTCATCACCAACATCACCACCATCATCACATTCACCACCACCTCCACCATCAACCACCATTACCATCACCATCACCAACAGCCTCATCACCAACATCACCACCTCCATCATAATCATCATTACCATCACCATCACCAACAGCCTCATCACCATTACCACCACCTCCACCATCACCATTACCATCACCTCCACCATCATCACCATTACCATCACCATTACCACCACCTCCACCATCACTACCATTACCATCACCACCATTACCATCACCACCATCACCATCACCAACATCACCACCACCACCATCATCACCACCACCACCACCATCATCATCACCACCACCACCACCATCGCCACAATCACCACCACCTCCACCATCATCATTACCAACACCACCACCTCCACCATCACCGCCACCTCCACCATCATCATCACCACCACCTCCACCATCACCATCATCACCATCACCACCATCATCACCACCACCACCATCATCACCATCACCACCATTACCATCATCACCACCTCCATCATCATCATCATCACCACCACCTCCACCATCACCATCATCACCATCACCACCATCATCACCACCATCACCATCACCACCACCTCCACCATCATCATCACCATCACCACCATTACCATCATCACCACCTCCACCATCACCATTACCATCACCACCATTACCATCATCACCACCTCCACCATCACCATTACCATCACCATTACCATCACCACCACCATCATCATCAGCATTACCATCACCACCATTACCATCACCACCATTACCATCACCACCATTACCACCACCATCACCACCATTACCATCACCACCATTACCATCACCAACATCACCACCACCATCACGACCATTACCATCATCACCACCTCCACCATCACCATTACCATCACCATTACCATCACCACCACCATCATCATCACCATTACCATCACCACCATTACCATCATCAGCATTACCATCACCACCATTACCATCACCACCATTACCATCACCACCATTACCACCACCATCACCACCATTACCATCACCACCATTACCATCACCAACATCACCACCACCATCACCACCATTACCATCACCAACATCACCACCATTACCATCACCACCACCTCCACCATCACCAACATCATCATCATCACCATTACCATCACCAACATCACCACCACCATCATCATCACCACCATCACCACCACCTCCACCATCACCACCATTACCATCACCAACATCACCACCACCATTACCACCATTACCATCACCACCATTACCATCACCACCATTACCATCACCACCATTACCATCACCAACAGCATCATCACCACCACCTTCACCATCACCACCATCACCAACATCATCACCACCACCACCATCACCACCATAACCACCATTTCCACCACCACCATCATCAATACCACCGTCTGTCTCATCCGCAGTAGCAGGCTCCCTTGAAACAATGCTGGCGAACTGCAGATGTTACAGGCAAGGACCCTCTCGTGAAGATATGGGTCTGTATGTATGCACATGTGTACGTATGTTGAACTTCTTTCGCACCGTACGTAGCCAACCGTGCTACTCGGAGTATCTTTCCTCGTCCTGAATCAATGCCGCTGAAATGATGCATTCCAAGAACGTCGTGGGCCGATGGATTGTGTACAAATGTGACTTCATGTCATTGCCGTGGAGAGGCAGATGGACGTGGCCGCCTGTGACCCCGCACTTTTGAGGCGACAGCGAGGGGGCGAGCCACTGGGGTTCAGCGAGGGGGGGGGCCTTGTGTGTGTGTGCCCAAGGGGGGTTCAGCGAGGGGGGCCTTGTGTGTGTGTGCTCCCTTCTGTACGGGGGGGAGGGGGGGCAGAGTGCTGCTGCCTCGCTCGCACGCGTGGGGGTTTCTCCGGGTTCCCCCCACGTGTCTAAACACATGAATTGGGCCGATGCCACCTCCATGAGTAGAGGACAGCAGAGCTCGGGCGATTGTTGGTAGCGCCGGATCCTCACCGCGTGGCTGCTGCTGCTGCTCTTGCTGCTGCTGCTGCGGCGGCTGCTGCTGCTCCTCCTGCAGCTGCTGCCTGTCCTCCTGCTACTCATGCTGCTACTCCTGCAGCTGCTGCTCCTGCTGCTGCTGCTCCTGCTGCTGCTGCCTTCCCACTCCTCGTCTGTGGTGCTTCCTCCTGGCGCCTCGGAGTCGTCCTCTCTCTCTGAGTCGTCCTCTCTCTCTCTGAGTCGTCCTCTCTCTCAGAGTCGTCCTCTCTCTCTCTGAGTCGTCCTCTCTCTCTCTGAGTCATCCTCTCTCTCTCTCTCTCTGAGTCGTTCTCTCTCTCTGAGTCGTCCTCTCTCTTAGAGAGAGAACAGATATTTTGCAGTGTGTTACCAATTGAAACTATGTTAATATGATATTGTTTGCTTATCTTGATTACACTACGGATACGTCTTTCAAGTGACTTGCAGTCAACACTGATAAGAAATTAATGTTTATTGAACTTAATAATTACCAGCTCAGCAGAGAATTACAGGCACTTCTATAAAACTTGTACCGTGATATTGTGTTTGACTTGGGTATATATTAATTATGAACATTATCAAGGTACATCACGTTTAAAAAATATACACTTACTATAACCTTAAAATAATGTGGTATGCCCACTAGAGACGGTAACGAGAAGGTGAATTTACCGTGAGCAGTGAGCAAGGCCGACGACATCCAGCCCTGTGGGCAAGGCACGACTTGCACGGCTTCACATCACGTGGCCTGACTTGTAACTTGTAAACTAAACTATTTAAAACTTAAACTTGTTTTTGTTGTACCAGGTAAGACCAACGGTGCTCTGTATGGAGGGAAACCCAGAGGAGCCGGAGAAAAATCCACGCGACCACGGGGAGAGACACGCAGACTCAAACTCCAGCAGCAGGCATCGTCAGGCTCGTGATCGAACCCACGACCTCCTGAGTTCTCACAGCCGGTTAACAAAATAAACTGTGTATCTCGATGTGTCTCCCTGGGTTCATAGGTATCTCTCTGTATCTCTATGTGTGGTTGTCACGGTGTGTGTGGTTGTCACGGTGTGTGTGTGGTTGTCACGGTGTGTGTGGTTGTCACGGTGTGTGTGGTTGTCACGGTGTGTGTGTGGTTGTCACGGTGTGTGTGGTTGTCACGGTGTGTGTGTGGTTGTCACGGTGTGTGTGTGGTTGTCACGGTGTGTGTGTGGTTGTCACGGTGTGTGTGTGGTTGTCACGATGTGTGTGGTTGTCACGGTGTGTGTGGTTGTCACGGTGTGTGTGTGGTTGTCACGATGTGTGTGTGGTTGTCACGGTGTGTGTGTGGTTGTCACGGTGTGTGTGTGGTTATCACGGTGTGTGTGTGGTTGTCACCGTGTGTGTGTGGTTGTCACGGTGTGTGTGTGGTTGTCACGGTGTGTGTGGTTGTCACGGTGTGTGTGTGGTTGTCACGATGTGTGTGTGGTTGTCACGGTGTGTGTGTGGTTGTCACGGTGTGTGTGTGGTTATCACGGTGTGTGTGTGGTTGTCACGGTGTGTGTGTGGTTGTCACGATGTGTGTGTGGTTGTCACGGTGTGTGTGGTTGTCACGGTGTGTGTGTGTGGTTATCACGGTGTGTGTGTGTGGTTATCACGGTGTGTGTGTGGTTGTCACGGTGTGTGTGTGGTTGTCACGGTGTGTGTGTGGTTGTCACGGTGTGTGTGTGGTTGTCACGGTGTGTGTGGTTGTCACGGTGTGTGTGTGGTTGTCACGGTGTGTGTGTGGTTGTCACGATGTGTGTGTGGTTGTCACGGTGTGTGTGTGGTTGTCACGGTGTGTGTGTGGTTATCACGGTGTGTGTGGTTGTCACGGTGTGTGTGTGGTTGTCACGGTGTGTGTGGTTGTCACGGTGTGTGTGGTTGTCACGGTGTGTGGTTGTCACGGTGTGTGTGGTTGTCACGGTGTGTGTGTGTGGTTGTCACGGTGTGTGTGTGGTTGTCACGGTGTGTGTGTGTGGTTGTCACGGTGTGTGTGTGGTTGTCACGGTGTGTGTGGTTGTCACGGTGTGTGTGTGGTTGTCACGGTGTGTGTGTGGTTGTCACGGTGTGTGTGGTTGTCACGGTGTGTGTGTGGTTGTCACGGTGTGTGTGTGGTTGTCACGGTGTGTGTGTGGTTGTCACGGTGTGTGTGTGGTTGTCACGGTGTGTGTGTGGTTGTCACGGTGTGTGTGTGGTTGTCACGGTGTGTGTGTGGTTGTCACGGTGTGTGTGTGGTTGTCACGGTGTGTGTGTGGTTGTCACGGTGTGTGTGTGGTTGTCACGGTGTGTGTGTGGTTGTCACGGTGTGTGTGTGGTTGTCACGGTGTGTGTGTGGTTGTCACGGTGTGTGTGTGGTTGTCACGGTGTGTGTGTGGTTGTCACGGTGTGTGTGTGGTTGTCACGGTGTGTGTGTGGTTATCACGGTGTGTGTGTGGTTGTCACGGTGTGTGTGTGGTTGTCACGGTGTGTGTGTGGTTGTCACGGTGTGTGTGTGGTTGTCACGGTGTGTGTGTGGTTGTCACGGTGTGTGTGGTTGTCACGGTGTGTGTGTGGTTGTCACGGTGTGTGTGTGGTTATCACGGTGTGTGTGTGTGGTTATCACGGTGTGTGTGGTTGTCACGGTGTGTGTGTGGTTGTCACGGTGTGTGTGTGGTTGTCACGGTGTGTGTGTGGTTGTCACGGTGTGTGTGGTTGTCACGGTGTGTGTGTGGTTGTCACGGTGTGTGTGTGGTTGTCACGGTGTGTGTGTGGTTGTCTGGAGGTGTGTGGTTGTCACGGTGTGTGTGGTTGTCACGGTGTGTGTGTGGTTGTCACGGTGTGTGTGTGGTTGTCACGGTGTGTGTGTGGTTGTCACGGTGTGTGTGTGGTTGTCACGGTGTGTGTGTGGTTATCACGGTGTGTGTGGTTGTCACGGTGTGTGTGTGGTTGTCACGGTGTGTGTGGTTGTCACGGGGTGTGTGGTTGTCACGGTGTGTGTGATGGCACGTTTCATGACGACAGGATGTTAATTAGAGCGAGGGTTAACACTACTCATGTATATATTCTATGGGTTTAAAAAAAAAATAATCACAACAAGTGCTGTGAGCGCACGCTCATGAAGGGAGCCCTCGTGCACGAACAACAAGTCGCGGTGCTGCGCCCAGAGACCACGCTGTGCTCATGTTTACACACGGCGCCTGGGTTATCCAGTTTAAGCCGAGTCGATCTAGGCGAGGCCCCAGGTCCGGTTCCGATGTTCGCCGATCGCTGGCGATCGCGAGCGGCGATCGAACTCGGGACCGCCGGGCGACCGAGCACGGAGCGCGCTGACCGTTGCGCCACCGCTCGCTCCCGCGAGCACACGCACACACACGCACGCTCGCGCACACGCACACACACACATACACACACGCGTGCACGCGCACACACACGCACACACACACGCACACGCACGCACACGCGCACACGCGCACACACACACACACGCACACACGCACGCACACACGCACACGCGCACACACACGTGCACGCACACACACGCACACACACGCACACGCACACACACGCACGCGCGCACACGCACACACACACATACACACACGCGTGCACGCGCACACACACGCACACACACGCACACACGCACACGCGCACACACACACGCACACACACGCGCACACACACGTGCACGCACACACACGCGTGCACGCACACACACACGCGCGGGCACGCACACACACACGCACACACACACACGCGTGCACGCACGCACACACGCGCGCGCCATCGGTCAAACACAGGGATATAACCTTAGAAGGAATATAAAAAAACAACGAATGCATCAACAAATCCGTAATAATCAAGAGGCAAAAGGGCAGCGTCACCGCCGCGAACGCAGAGACGGGGTTTTGACGACGCGAGGAGGGCGAGAGTTTAAACATCGCGGTTCAGCGAGCTGACGACGACGGCCAAAATCGTCGCCGTGTAAGAACCCTCCGCCACCCGACGGGACCCAAACGCACCGAAGTTGTGACGCGCGCGCCAGCTGCGTCACCGCTCGCCCGTCGCCGCCGTCGTCGTCGCCGTTGTTGTTGTTGTTGTCGTTGTTGTTGTCGTGCTAAAACTTATTTTACGAAAATATTTTGGTATTTTTTTAGGAGGTAAGGCCCCACTGAGCTCCATCGCTATTTTTGTTTTCAGAAGCGACCTGCCCATCACAACCGCGAGCTGGACGAAGTGGCTTCTCTTGACACGTGATGTCGATTCTAGACGTGGAGGGAAAACCCGGAGGGAGCTGGAGAAACATCCACGCGACCACGGGGAGAGAGACGCAAACTCCACATATACAGCAGCGAGCGTCAGGGTGGAGATCGAACCCACGACCTCCTGTACACCAGGCGAGGTAGTTAACATCTCCTAGCCACCGTGACACCCGTTTCACAATGCGCCGATTGTTATTAAACTCGCCGGAGAGCAACCACTTCTCGTGGCCGGGTTTAGCAACGAGACCGATTGCTGCGATTGCATGGAATGAGATTCGGGCGGCTCAGACGAGAGAGAGGTTTCTTGTCAAACTTGGCCTGTTGCTCGTTCGCTCGCTCGTTCGCTCGCTCGACGATTCCGTTTGCTGCCGGGTGGTGGAGGGGTTCTCAACAACGCAGATTTGGCCGGGATCATTGCCGTGGCCGAACCCACACATCCGATGTCAGAACGATACAAATATAAAACATTTTGGGCAAAGCGGGGGAGGGGCGGGACAAGCTTAAAATATAAAGTATAGAAAGTCTCCGTCGAATGAGTTTATATATATATACACAGGCTATGCGGCCAGGTCACGCAGAATGCACTCGGTCCGGATCCAGGCAGATCTGGGAAGCTAAGTAGGCGTTGAGGCTGCTCAGTGTCTGGACGGGCGGCAAACCGCGCACGCAGAACGAGAGCGGCACACCGCGCACGCAGAACGACGCGAGCGGCTGCCGCGCACGCAGAAAGAGAGCGGCAAACCGCGCACGCAGAACGAGAGCGGCACGCCGCGTACGCAGAACGAGAGCGGCAAACCGCGCACGCAGAACGAGAGCGGCACACCGCGCACGCAGAACGACGCGAGCGGCTGCCGGAGCGAGGAGGAGGAGGCGGCGGCCCGCAGGGGGCTGGGTGCTGCCGGTGCAGCGCCGCTCCTGCTGCTGCCGCCACCGCCGCCGCGCAACCCCCACGGATGCAGCACGCGGAGAAGCGACTTCGGCCCGCGGAGACGCTGGGGGGAGGAGGGAGGGTGGGGGCCCGGGTGGAGATGGGAGGGGGGGCTGAGAGGGGTTCGGTGAGGTTAGGAGAGCGGGCGGGCTGCCGACGTCACTGCGTGCACCCCCTGCGTCGCTACGATTCGAGCGTGGCGACGACTCCATGCGGTGGGGCGGGGGCCATCCGGAACGTCCGCGCCTGGCGGCTCTGCGCTGTGTGTGGGGGTTAGTGAGGGGGGGGGGTTAGTGGGGGGGTTAGTGGGGGGGGGGGTTAGTGGGTGGGGGGGTCACGATGACGACGCTGGGACTCAGCGGTTGCCGAACGGCTGGCTCGTCACGAAGATGTGCAGGCGTAGCAGCGAGGATGTGTGCAGGCCCAGCAGCGGGTGCACCGTGACCACCTCCAGCTCCAGGGGGATGTCGCGAGGCCCTCGCACCGCACGGATCAGCGCCAGCATCGCCGTGTGCTCGTTCAGTTGCTGCGGGAGGAGGGTGGGCGGAACGTTGGCCGGAGGGGTGGGGGGCGAGAGGATGGGTGGGTGGCGAGGGGATGGGTGGGTGGGCCAGAGGGTGGGTGGGTGGGCGAGAGGGTGGGTGGGTGGGCGAGAGGGTGGGTGGGTGGGCGAGAGGGTAGGTGGGTAGGTGGGTGGGTGGGCGAGTGAGTGGGCGGGTGGGCGAGTGGGTGGGTGGGTGGGCGGGTGGTTCGAGTGAGTGGGTGGGCGGGCGAGCGGGTGGGTGGGCGAGCGAGTGGGTGGGCGAGCAGGTGGGCGGGCGGGCGAGTGGATGGGTGGCTGGGTAAGCGAGAGGACGTGTGGATGTGTGGGTGGGCGTTTGGGCAGGTGGGCTGGCGAGCGGGCAGGCGGGCATCAGGTTGACAACCGCGACCTGCCGCTGGGGGTGACCCCTCTCACCCTGAGCACGAATTCCTTGGCCTCGTTGCCGGCGCGGATCTGGAAGGAGTTGTAGGCGCCCTGGTAGTGGACGCGCGACTGCAGGTAGAAGATGTCTGCGGGGACGCGGCGCCCGCCCGCGATGTCCATGAACTTGTAGCGCACCGAGTAGGGCAGGTCCGTGCACGCGGGCAGCTCGCTGGGGCACACGCACAGGCTGCACACAGAGAGACACACGCACAGATACACGCACAGACACACGCACAGACACACAGACACACGCACAGACACATGCACAGACACACGTACAGACACATGCACAGACACACGCACAGACAGACACACGCATAGACAGACACACAGACACACGCACAGACACACGCACAGACAGAGGTGGGTGAGTGAGTGGGTAGTTGAATGAGTGAGTCGGTGAGTGAGTGAGTGAGCAGGTGAGTGAGTGAGTGAGTGGGTGAGTGAGTGGGTAGTTGAATGAGTGAGTCGGTGAGTGAGTGAGCAGGTGAGTGAGCAGGTGAGTGGGCTGATGGACGAGTGAGCGGGTGAGTGAGCGGGTGAGTGAGTGGGTGAGTGGGTGCGTGGTCCACTCCTCGGTGGACTCGACATGAACACGCACTCGTCTGCGGACTGCGTGTAGGGCTCGCGACACACGAGCGCGTCGATGCAGCGGTGCCCGCCGGGCAGGTTGTAGCAGCGCTGGGAGTCGCGGCAAGCGGGCCCCCCAGACCCCCCCTCACACTCGTTCACGTCTAGCCGGGGGGCGGGGGGGGGGGCAAGGGACATGGAGAGGAATGAAGCACGGAGACACGAGGACATGCAGGGGCACACGGGGACAGGATGATGACGACAATGACGACGATAATGATCATGATGAAGGCAATAATTATGATGACGATACTAGCGACGATGATTATGTACGTATGTTGGACTTCTTTCACACCGTACGTAGCCAACCGTGCTAATTGGAGGTGCGGGATGCTCACGATGATTATTATGATGCCGATAATGAAGTCTATGATGATAACGATGATGACAATGATGATACAGACGGTGGTGGTGATGATGATGACGATGATGACAATGATGATACAGACGGTGGTGATGATGATGATGATGATAACAATGATGATAATGATGATACAGACGGTGGTGGTGATGATGATGACGATGATGACAATGGTGATACAGACGGTGGTGATGATGATGATGATGATAACGATGATGATAATGATGATACAGACGGTGGTGACGGTGTTGACGGTGTTGACGCTGCGAGTCACCCAGGCAGCTGCGGTTGTTGCTGTGCATGGAGAAGCCCTCGGGGCAGCTGCAGTGGAAGCTGCCGTCCGTGTTGTGGCACCGGTAGTGGCACAGCGAGGTGGAGTGGCGGCACTCGTCCACATCTCGTGGGGTGGACAGAGGGTGAGCGACAGAGGGTGAGAGGGTGAGTGAGAGAGAGGGTGAGCGAGAGAGAGGGTGAGTGAGAGAGAGGGTGAGCAAGAGAGAGGGGGAGTGAGAGAGAGGGTGAGTGAGAGAGAGGGTGAGCGAGAGGGTGAGTGAGAGAGAGGGTGAGTGAGAGGGTGAGTGAGAGAGAGGGTGAGAGGGTGAGTGAGAGAGAGGGGGAGTGAGAGAGAGGGTGAGTGAGAGAGAGGGTGAGCGAGAGGGTGAGTGAGAGAGAGGGTGAGCGAGAGAGAGGGTGAGTGAGAGAGAGGGTGAGTGAGAGAGAGGGTGAGCAAGAAAGAGGGTGAGTGAGAGAGAGGGTGAGAGGGTGAGTGAGAGAGAGGGTGAGTGAGAGGGGGGTGAGTGAGAGAGAGAGGGTGAGAGGGAGAGTGAGGGAGAGAGGGGGAGTGAGAGAGAGGGTGAGCGAGAGGGTGAGTGAGAGAGAGGGTGAGCGACAGAGAGGAAGAGCCAAGCACCTTCATGCTCAAGTAAATGAATCTAACTAATCTCAATCTAACGAATCTCAATTTCACCGTTTCCCGTGACGAGTTCCCAAAAGCAAACTCTGAGACTCTCTGGTCTCCATCGTCATCATCATCATCGTCATCATCATCAGCGTCATCATCATCATCGTGATTATCGTGATCATCATCGTTATCATCATCATCATCATCGTCATCATCAGCGTCATCATCAGCGTCGTCATCATCGTCGTCATCATCATCATCGTCATCATCATCATCGTCATCATCAGCGTCGTCATCATTGTCATCGTGATCTTCGTCATGATGAACATCATCGTGATCATTATCGTCATCGTAATCACCATAGTGATCATAATCGGCGTGATCATCATCGTGATCATCATCACCGTGATCATCATCATCGTGATCATCATCACCATCATCATCGTGATCATCATAAACATCATCATCACCATCATCATGATCGTGATCATCATCATCGTGATCATCGTGATCATCATCATCGTGATTATCATCATCGTGATTATCATCGTGATCATCATCATCGTGATCATCATCATCATCATCGTGATCATCATCATCGTGATCATCATCATCGTGATCATCATCGTGATCATCATCATCGTGATCATCATCATCGTTATCATCGTGATCATCATCATCGTGATCATCATCATCGTGCTCATCATCGTGATCATCATCGTGATCATCATCATCGTGATCATCATCACCATCATCATCGTGATCATCATCATCATCATCGTGATCATCATCGTGATCATCGCGATCATCATCGTGATCATCATCGTGATTATCATCATCGTGATCATCATCATCATCGTGATCATCATCATCGTGATCATCATCATCATCGTGATCGCCCCTGCCCCCCCCGCCAGTGCGTACCGGTGCAGGCCCGGCGGTCGCGAGCCAGCGAGTACCCCGCCTCGCAGCGGCACTGGAAGCTGCCGTGCGAGTTGGCGCACAGCTGGGCGCACGGCGGCTGCTCGCCCGCACACTCGTCCACGTCTGCGCGCACACAGACACAGAGGCGAAGCTCCCCCAGGTAGCCCCGCGCAGGCAAGACAAGTGAAGAGCTCTTTTTAGAAAGTGCCGGCACGGCGCGCCGATGAGCGCCCCCTTTGTCGCAGCCCCGGTACGATGTTTACACATCGTACCGGGTACTGTAGTGCTGTGTCTATGGGTAGTGCTAAGTTTATGGGCAGTGCTGAGTCTATGGACTGCAGTGTTGAGTCTATGGGCAGTGTTGAGTCTGTGGGCAGTGCTGAGTCTACGGGCAGTGCTGAGTCTATGGGCAGTGCTGAGTCTACGGGCAGTGTTGAGTCTATGGGCAGTGGTGAGTCTTGAGTCTATGGGCAGTGTTGAGTCTGTGGGCAGTGCTGAGTCTATGGGCAGTGTTGAGTCTGTGGGCAGTGCTGAGTCTGTGGGCAGTGCTGAGTCTATGGGCAGTGTTGAGTCTGTGGGCAGTGCTGAGTCTATGGGCAGTGTTGAGTCTATGGGCAGTGTTGAGTGTGTGGGCAGTGCTGAGTCTGTGGGCAGTGCTGAGTCTATGGGCAGTGTTGAGTCTGTGGGCAGTGCTGAGTCTATGGGCAGTGTTGAGTCTATGGGCAGTGTTGAGTCTATGGGCAGTGCTGAGTGTATGGGCAGTGCTGAGTCTGTGGGCAGTGTGAGTCTATGGGGCAGTGTTGAGTCTATGGGCAGTGTTGAGTCTACGGGCAGTGCTCAGTCTATGGGCAGTGTTGAGTCTATGGGCAGTGTTGAGTCTATGAGCAGTGTTGAGTCTATGGGCAGTGTTGAGTCTATGGGCAGTGTTGAGTCTATGGGCAGTGCTGGGTCGATCTTCTTCTTCCAGACGTCTGCTGCTGATGTAGACGCAGAGCGACGTCTCCAGTCTCACACTCAGGTGGGGCAAGCGCAGACAACGGCGTCAGGAGCACGAGCGGAGTCGCGTGGCACCATCGTCGTCGTCGTCGTCGCTGTGATGATGTCTCCTTCGCTAAAGTGTCGTTCCACGTTGTACTACGCTCAGTTCTTGATGACCACCAGTTTGTTTATTTCCCATTTGTGCATCATCAGCTACCATCCGCATCTCCCGCTGCCGTGGTTTGCGCGGTGGATGCTCACAGACCTGTGGCTCGCTCGAGCGCTCACCCTGGCACGAGTGGTCGTTGTCCGCCAGCACGAACCCCGCTGAGCATTGGCAGCGGTACGAGCCCGGCGAGTTGACGCAGCGCTGCTGGCAGTGCCCGTACAGACACTCGTTGATGTCTGGGGCGGGGGGGGGGGAGACACGCGGAGACGCAGTTTATTTGTGTACCCCATACACTAGGCTGTATCCCCTTGCTGTACCCCCTTGCTGTACCCCCTCTCTGTACCTCCTCTCTGTACCCCTTGCTGTACCCCCTCTCTGTACCCCCTCTCTGTACCCCTTGCTGTACCCCCTCTCTGTACCCCCTCTCTGTATCCCCTTGCTGTACCCCCTCTCTGTACCCCCTCTCTGTACCCCTTGCTGTACCCCCTTGCTGTACCCCCTTGCTATACTCCCTCTCTGTATCCCCTCTCTGTACCCCTTGCTGTACCCCCTTGCTGTACTCCCTCTCTGTATCCCCTCTCTGTACCCCCTTGCTGTACCCCCTCTCTGTACCCCCTCTCTGTATCCCCCATTGCTCCACCGCAGGGGTCGTCAGCCTGCGGCTCTGGCGCTGCAGGCGGGTGGCTCTCTAAGGACTGCAGTGGGGCTCTTGGACGTCGGTGATTTTACATTTTTACTCTTGTTGTTATTTTTTTATCTTCTTGTTATTTTTCCTTTAAATTTTCTTGTTATTTTTCTTTTTAATCTTCTTGTTATTTTAATTTTTATCTTCTTGTTTTTTAAATCTTCTTTTTTTTATTTAAATCTTGTTATTTAAACCGTTTTATCTTCTTGTTTAAAATGTTTATCTTCTTTTTATTTTTAATCGTCTCATTTTTATTTTTTATATTCTTGTTTTTTTTTAATCTTCTTGTTATTTAATTTTTTTATCTTCTTGTTTTTTATCATCTTTTTTTTATCTTATTGTTATTAAAAAATAAATTATGTTCTTGTTTTGATTTTGAATCTTATTTTTAATCTTCTTGTTATTTTTATTTTTTATCTTCTTATTTTTATTTTTAATCTTCTTGTTACTTTTCTTTTTGTTATTTAGTGCGGCCCCAGACAGCACACAGATAGTGAAAAGAACCCCACCACCCCCACAACCACCGCAACCCCCACCACCACCACCCCCACCACCACCCTCACCACCCCCACCACCACCACCATCATCATCGTCGTGCTGCTGTCAACCCCCCGATGTCCCTCCTCACACTCGCGGCGTCGCACGGGCGTCAGTGTCCCCGTGGGGCGGCCACTTACCGACGCAGACGCCTCCGTAGCTCTCCTGGTAGCCGCTGGGGCACTGGCACGTGTAGCTGCCCGCGGTGTTGGCGCACGTCTTGGATGGGGGGCACACCGGCTCGCCCCCCCCCACACACTCATCCACGTCTGTAGCGGCAGGGCCACAGAGGGGAAGGGGGCGAGGAGGGGTCGTGGGGGAAGTTGACCTTGACGGGCGCTCACGAACCGGCGTTAATTACGCACCGACCAGTGTGGTGAAGTATGGTCAAGCACGATAATCGTTTTTTTACCCTTCTATCTGGCAACAAAACTGACACCTTTTTACAAGGAGTCATGTTTGCATAGACCACAATACCTGCAGCCATAATGCAAACAAAAAACATAACTCTGATAATGTGCACTGTCCTTGAAGTTGATTGGTCCATACCCGAGACAGCTTTCCTTAGAGCATAGTCTCACATGGGTTGGACCAGATGACGCCAAAAGGCGCACATTATCAGAGTTATGTTTTTGTTTGCATTATGACTGCAGGTATTGTGGTCTATGCAAACATGACTCCTTGTAAAAAGGTGTCAGTTTTGTTGCCAGATAGAAGGGTAAAAAACCAATTATCATATTTTTACTGGCAAATGAGGTTCCCATAGAGTATGGTCAAGCACCCCCCCCCCCACCACCACCACGGACGAGTCGTGGGGAGGCCCTCGTCCAGCAGTCGATTGCCAAAGGGGCAAGGACTGACGTCGTGATTCCCCGAGAGTAAACACGTGAGTATACACACGTGCATCCACACACACACTCACACACACTTATACACACGTGCATACACACACTCACACTCGCGTGCACACACACTCATACACTCACACTGACACACTTATACTGTTATACACACATGTGTACACACACTCATACACTCACACACACTTATACACACGTGCATACACTCACACACACACTCACACACGTGCGTAAACTCACACACACTGACACACTTATACACACGCGTGTACACACACTCATACACTCACACACACGTGCGTACACTCACACACACACTCACACACTTATACACACGTGCATACACTCACACACTCACACACGCGTGCACACACACTCATACACTCACACTGACACACTTATACACACATGTGTACACACACTCATACACTCACACACTTATACACACGTGCATACACTCACACACTCACACACGTGCGTACACTCACACACACACTCACACACACGTGCGTACACTCACACACACACACTGACACACTTATACACACGCGTGCACACACACTCATAGACTCTAGCACACTCGTACACACACACACGCTCTCACATACGCACATACACTGGAATATTTTTATATTCACACACACTCTAGCACTCAACAAAGACAAAGGTCCCCCGTGTAGCCTTAACAGACTGACTGTTGGCTGTCCGCGAGCAGCCCCTATGAAGGCTACCGGCACTGTGGCACACGAGGGGCTGGGTGGCCAGCACCACGCCCGGCCGCCTTTGTCTCCCCAGTGGCGATCTCTTCACATCGCAACATTCATTTGAGGCTGAGTCGACCTAGGGGAGGCCCAGGATCGATTCAGATAATCGCCACTGGTGGTGGCCGTGAGCGGGACTCGAACTCGGGTCGCCGGGTTCATCGCGCAGCACGCTAACAAAGACAAAGATCCCCGTATAGCTTGAACAGACTGTTGGGGCGAGTGTTGTTAGCCAGCACCTATGAAGACGGGCACGACACACGAAGGGGTGGGTGGCCAACACCACGCACGGCCGCCTTTGTCTCCCAGTGGTGATGTTTACACACCACATCGTGACACACACACACGAACACACACCGCGACCATCATCCCCAAAGCCCCAGAGCTCTTCACATCTGCGAGCCCGCGTGTTTCCGCTCCCCCCGCCCCACCCATCACCGCCAATGACCCCACTCAGGGGACATGTTGATAGACCCCCAAATCGGGAGCACATGTGGGTGTGTGTGAGTGTGTCAGTGTGAGAGTGTGTCAGTGTGTGAGTGTGTGAGTGAGTGTGTGTGTGAGGGTGTGTGGGGAGCGATAGTGCAGCGGTTAGCGCGCTGCGCTATAAACCCAGCGACACGAGTTTGATTCCCTCTCACGGCCAACACCAGTGACGATTATCTGAACCTCCAACTCCTTCTAAGATTGAACAGCAACCAGCAGATCGTCAGCGTACATGACATGGTTAACCAGTCGGGAGCATTCCCTTGACTGCACGCGGGCATCGATTCGCCTCCGATTGCATCTGCACTAGATGGGATTTCCACTGGTACAGCCATGTAAGGCTTCTCGAACTACGTGGCCGAAGACGATGTTAAACAATGTGGGAACTAGAGGACAACTCTGACGCACTCCAAGATGAGCAGGGGATGGCTCTAACTCGTGGCCACACAACTTTACTCGGGCCTGCCCACCATCATGAAGGTCCTTGATGATTGTGTGTAGAGTCAGGGATCCCGAAAGCACGAAGAACAATCCAAAGCTCTAGCCTGTTGATGGTATCATAGGCCTTGACCAGGTCGCAGAGATGTAGGTCCTGTTGGAATTCCCTACACCTCTGCTGTAGCAGACGGACAGGGATTATGGCATTCAGGCAGGACTGCCTCGGCCTGAAACCACATTGGGGCTCCGCAAGCCTCTCATCAGTGTACCTGGCATGGCGACATTGAATTGTTATTGCCAGGACCTTTCCCGACACACTGAGGAGGGAGATGCCCCTTTTTAAAGTGGGGAACCACGAGGGCATCCTTCCAATCCTGTAGAACCCATCATGTGATCCAGCCAGTTGTGATGATGTCATGTAGGGTAGTCTGTGCACAGAGACACTTCGTTTGGGAAATCATCTCTGCCCGGCGCTTTTTTCCTGCTCTCAGACTCGGGACCGCCCTTTGCGCTTCTTCGACAGATGGCACCTCAGCCGGCCACGCGCACGAGGCGCCGCAACCCGCCCTCCCCTCGCCCCGTGACGGTGTCTGGGCTGAGGGAATCCCCCCCCCCCCCCCCCCCCCCCAAAAACTTCACATAACGCAAACCTGTTCCCTTAAGGATGGCGACAGTGAGGTGTTGCATGTTACTCTTTTGATGGAATTACAGAGATCTGTGATCACGGCTCACCAGGCAGATTCCATCTCGTCAGCAACCCGCGCCCACCACTCATCCTTACAGCTGCGGTAAGCCTCCTCGTTCTCCGACGTGGGATGTTGCGGTATCAGGTGGAGGGGTTACCAGCCCCTCGCACACACGAACCTCACTAACTACATGCCCAAACACAGCCTGCACCACCCATACAAAGACAAAGATCCCATACAGCCTGAACAGACTGTTGGGGCAAGTGCAATTAACGAGCACCTATTAAGGCTGGAACGGACCGCCCTCGTCTCACCAGTGGCGATGTTTAACACACCGCACCAGGTACCCATTTCAGGCTGAGTCGACCTAGGTGAGACCCAGGACCAGTTCAAATATTTGTCATCGATGTTAGCCCTGAGCGCGATTCGAACTCGGGTCACTGGGTTCGTAGCGCAGTTTGCTAACCACTACACTGCTCTACCCACACCCCCGCACACGTACCCACACACACGTACCCACACACACGTACCCACACACACGTACCCACGCACACGTACCCACACGTACCCACGCACACGTACTCACACACACACGTACCCACATACACGTACCCACACGTACCCACGCACACGTACCCACACACACGTACCCACGCACATGTACCCACACACACGTACCCACACGTACCCACACACACGTACCCACACACACGTACCCACGCACACGTACCCACACACACGTACCCACGCACACGTACCCACACACACGTACTCACACACACACGTACCCACACACACGTACCCACACACACGTACCCACACACACGTACCCACGCACACGTACCCACACACACGTACTCACACACACACGTACCCACGCACATGTACCCACACACACGTACCCACACGTACCCACACACACGTACCCACACACACGTACCCACACACACGTACCCACACACACGTACCCACGCACACGTACCCACACACACGTACCCACACGTACCCACGCACACGTACCCACACACACGTACCCACGCACACGTACCCACATGTACCCACACGTACCCACGCACACGTACCCACACACACGTACCCACACACACGTACCCACGCACACGTACCCACACGTACCCACGCACACGTACTCACACACACACGTACCCACATACACGTACCCACACGTACCCACGCACACGTACCCACACACACGTACCCACACGTACCCACGCACACGTACTCACACACACACGTACCCACATACACGTACCCACACGTACCCACGCACACGTACCCACACACACGTACTCACACACACACGTACCCACGCACATGTACCCACACACACGTACCCACACGTACCCACACACACGTACCCACACACACGTACCCACGCACACGTACCCACACGTACCCACGCACACGCACCCACACACACGTACCCACACACACGTACCCAGGCGTACCCACCCACACGTACCCACCCACACGTACCCACGCACACGTACCCACACACACGTACCCACACGTACCCACGCACACGTACCCACACGTACCCACGCGTACCCACACACACGTACCCACACACACGTACCCACGCACACGTACCCACACGTACCCACGCACACGCCATCCTGCAGGCCGTGTCCCGGCGCGCAGGGGCTCAACACGTCCTCGGCCGCGTCCCCCACCTCCGTCACCGCCCTCCTTGGCGGGGGGGCCGCGTGGCCCCCCGGGGGGCTCTCCCCGGCGGGCTGGAAGGCGCCGCCCCCACCGCCGCCGTGGGTCTCGCCCAAGGGGGTGCGGATGACGAGCGCGGAGCGGGGCAGGCACAGGTAGCCCCCGAAGTGGTTGATGCACTTCAGCTGCCCCTTGCACGCGTCCGGGATGATCTCGCACTCGTTCACGTCTGTGGGAGTCGCAAGGTGGGGGCGGGGGCCAGAGGGTTGGGGGGGGGGGCGTCTATGAGTCTCTCTGTGAGTCTATGGGCCTCTGTGTGAGTCTATGGGCCTCCGTGTGTGAGTCTTTGGGTCTCTGTGTGAGTCTATGAGTCTCTCTGTGAGTCTATGGGTCTCTGTGTGAGTCTATGGGTCTCTGTGTGAGTCTATGAGTCTCTCTGTGAGTCTATGGGTCTCTGTGTGAGTCTATGGGTCTCTGTGTGAGTCTATGGGTCTCTGTGTGAGTCTATGGGTCTCTGTGTGAGTCTATGGGTCTCTGTGTGAGTCTATGGGTCTCTGTGTGAGTCTATGGGTCTCTGTGTGAGTCTATGGGTCTCTGTGTGAGTCTATGGGTCTCTGTGTGAGTCTATGGGTCTCTGTGTGAGTCTATGGGTCTCTCTGTGAGTCTATGAGTCTCTCTGTGAGTCTATGGGTCTCTGTGTGAGTCTATGGGTCTCTGTGTGAGTCTATAGGTCTCTGTGTGAGTCTATGAGTCTCTCTGTGAGTCTATGGGTCTCTCTGTGAGTCTATGGGTCTCTGTGTGAGTCTATGAGTCTCTCTGTGAGTCTATGGGTCTCTCTGTGAGTCTATGAGTCTCTCTGTGAGTCTATGAGTCTCTCTGTGAGTCTATGGGTCTCTCTGTGAGTCTATGAGTCTCTCTGTGAGTCTATGGGTCTCTGTGTGAGTCTATGGGCCTCTCTGTGAGCCTATGGGTCTCTCTGTGAGTCTATGGGCCTCTCTGTGAGTCTATGGGTCTCTGTGTGAGTCTATGGGTCTCTCTGTGAGTCTATGGGTCTCTCTGTGAGTCTATGAGTCTCTCTGTGAGTCTATGGGTCTCTGTGTGAGTCTATGGGTCTCTGTGTGAGTCTATGGGTCTCTGTGTGAGTCTATGGGTCTCTGTGTGAGTCGATGGGTCTCTGTGTGAGTCTATGGGTCTCTGTGTGAGTCTATGGGTCTCTGTGTGAGTCTATGGGTCTCTGTGTGAGTCTATGGGCCTCTGTGTGAGTCTATGGGCCTCTGTGTGAGTCTATGGGTCTCTGTGTGAGTCTATGGGTTTCTGTGTGAGTCTATGGGTCTCTGTGTGAGTCTATGGGTCTCTGTGTGAGTCTATGGGTCTCTGTGTGAGTCTATGGGTCTCTGTGTGAGTCTATGGGTCTCTCTGTGAGTCTATGAGTCTCTCTGTGAGTCTATGGGTCTCTGTGTGAGTCTATGGGTCTCTGTGTGAGTCTATAGGTCTCTGTGTGAGTCTATGAGTCTCTCTGTGAGTCTATGGGTCTCTCTGTGAGTCTATGGGTCTCTGTGTGAGTCTATGAGTCTCTCTGTGAGTCTATGGGTCTCTCTGTGAGTCTATGAGTCTCTCTGTGAGTCTATGAGTCTCTCTGTGAGTCTATGGGTCTCTGTGTGAGTCTATGGGCCTCTCTGTGAGTCTATGGGTCTCTCTGTGAGTCTATGGGCCTCTCTGTGAGTCTATGGGTCTCTGTGTGAGTCTATGGGTCTCTCTGTGAGTCTATGGGTCTCTCTGTGAGTCTATGAGTCTCTCTGTGAGTCTATGGGTCTCTGTGTGAGTCTATGGGTCTCTGTGTGAGTCTATGGGTCTCTGTGTGAGTCTATGGGTCTCTGTGTGAGTCTATGAGTCTCTCTGTGAGTCTATGGGTCTCTGTGTGAGTCTATGGGTCTCTGTGTGAGTCTATGGGTCTCTGTGTGAGTCTATGGGTCTCTGTGTGAGTCTATGGGTCTCTGTGTGAGTCTATGGGTCTCTGTGTGAGTCTACGGGTCTCTGTGTGAGTCTACGGGTCTCTGTGTGAGTCTGAGTCTCTCTGTGAGTCTATGGGTCTCTCTGTGAGTCTATGAGTCTCTCTGTGAGTCTATGGGTCTCTCTGTGAGTCTATGGGCCTCTGTGTGAGTCTATGGGCCTCTCTGTGTGAGTCTATGGGTCTCTGTGTGAGTCTATGGGTCTCTGTGTGAGTCTATGGGTTTCTCTGTGAGTCTATGGGCCTCTGTGTGAGTCTATGGGCCTCTCTGTGTGAGTCTTTGGGTCTCTGTGTGAGTCTATGAGTCTCTCTGTGAGTCTATGGGTCTCTGTGTGAGTCTATGGGTCTCTCTGTGAGTCTATAGGTCTCTGTGTGAGTCTATGGGCCTCTGTGTGAGTCTATGGGTCTCTGTGTGAGTCTATGGGTCTCTGTGTGAGTCTATGAGTCTCTCTGTGAGTCTATGGGTCTCTCTGTGAGTCTATGAGTCTCTCTGTGAGTCTATGGGTCTCTGTGTGAGTCTATGGGCCTCTCTGTGAGTCTATGGGTCTCTGTGTGAGTCTATGGGTCTCTGTGTGAGTCTATGGGTCTCTGTGTGAGTCTATGGGTCTCTCTGTGAGTCTATGGGTCTCTGTGTGAGTCTATGGGTCTCTGTGTGAGTCTATGGGTCTCTGTGTGAGTCTATGGGTCTCTGTGTGAGTCTCTGTGTATTCCACGATCTCAGCGGTGCTGAGCACGGCCATGAAGGACCAACCCACTTTGCCATCATCACCATCTGTGGGCCACGCGTCTGTCTCCGTCCAAGACGTCAGCAATCGTGGCCGTCTCTCTCCCGTGGAGCTTTGTCCATGATGTTTGCTCCAGAACATTGCATCAGATTTTCCTCCCCGTTGCATTCGATTGTAAAACTCAATTCAATGCCTCTTTATACTCCACGTGCAGCGTAGCCACCACGGCCCGGCTGATAGCCGGCTTCTTAAAAGCCACCACCGAGGGCACATCTCATGCCCTCCTCCACAGTACAACTCTCCCACGCAGGGCCGTCGAAACTAAACTAAACACATGTTGTTATTGTACCAGGTAAGGCCCAATGAGCTATGTGTCTCTTTTGCAGAAGCGACCTTGAAATCACAAGTGATAGCTCAACCAAGTGGCTTCTCATCACGTGGACATTTACAGCAACCAAATACTCTAAACGCGTGATGTCGATTCTAAATACGGAGAGAAAACCCGGAGGATCCGAAAAAAAAATCCCACACGACCACGGGGAGAAAGACACGCAAACCACAAATCTACAGCAGCAGCAGGCGTGAGGATCGGGATCGAACCCACGACCTCCTGCACACCAGGCGAGGTAGTTGACATCTCATAGCCACCGTGGGGCCGGGGCAAATCCCACTGTGTGGGCCCCCAAACGCCTTCAAGCTCAAGCGGAGCGATTACACCTGAGGCCGTGACGTCAAGGCAAGGGGGCCCCCAAAGCGTGGGGGGCCTGGGGGGAGGGGGCCGGGACGGTCGCCCCGATTCGCCGTGACTCACCCAGGCACTGCTGCCGGTCGGCGTTCCACAGGTAACCCTCGGAGCAGTCCTGAAACAGACAAAGTATCGACTCTTGTTAGCCAGCGCCTATTCAAACTAAACTTTTTTTAAACCATCTTTTATTTGACCAGGTAAGGCCCACTGAGCGAGATAGATGTATTTCAAAAGCCACCTAAATATAAATGATAGCTCGTGGGCTGATCACGTGGAATTAATTTCAGCAAAGACTCTAAACGCGTGGTGATGTTGATTCTAAATGTGGAGGGGAAAAGCTGGAGGGCCCGGAGGCAAATCCACGCGACCACGGGGAGAGAGACGCAAGCTCCAAATACACAGCAGCAGCAGCAGGGGTTAGGGTCAGCATCGAACCCACGACCTCCTGCATACTAGGGGAGGGAGTTAACATCTCCTGTGTACCAGGCGAGGTAGTTAACATTTCCTCTGTACCAGGCGAGGTAGTTAACATCTCCTGCACACCAGGCGAGGGAGTTAACATCTCCTGTGTACCAGGCGAGGGAGATAACATCTCCTGTGTACCAGGCGAGGTAGTTAACATCTCCTGCACACCAGGCGAGGGAGTTAACATCTCCTGTGTACCAGGCGAGGTAGTTAACATCTCCTGTGTACCAGGCGAGGTAGTTAACATCTCCTGTGTACCAGGCGAGGTAGTCAACATCTCCTGTGTACCAGGCGAGGGGGATAACATCTCCTGTGTACCAGGCGAGGGAGTTAACATCTCCTGTGTACCAGGCGAGGGAGTTAACATCTCGCCACCGTGAGGAGGTGGGTCGGGTTGTGGCCACCACCACGCCCCACTGGCCGCTTTTGTCTATCCTGATGTTTACACACAGCGCACCGTGTTGAAGCATTTCGAAATGAAAGTGTATTTCCTATTGATCGAAGCAGCTCTTTTTCAAGAGCGGCTCGGCCCACAGACAACATCGTTTAAGGCCGAATCAACCTAGGGGAGAGCCAGGAGCGGTTCAGCAAATCCGTCACTGTTGTGAGCCATGGCCGCACATGGAACCCGCGTGGCGGGGGTTGCAGCGCAAGAACACACAAAGACAAAGATCCCCCGTAGAGCCCATGCAGGCCCTAGGGGCAAGTGCTGCTTGCGAGCACCCTCTGAAGCCAACACGGTACCGCGAGGGGGTGGTGTGTGTGGCTATCCCCACGCCCGGCCGCCTTTGTCTCCCAGTGATGATGTTTACACAACGCACCAAGTGTTCATTTACGGCTGAGTCAACGTAGGCGAGGTCCAGGATGTTGACCGTGAAGCGGGAATCGAGCTCACAACCACAAAGTTGGGAGCGCAGTGCGCTAACCACTGCGCCACGACTCCCCCTGTATTGTGGGAGCGGTCGTGCACTGCGCTATGAATTCGGCGTTCAGAGTTCGATTCCTGCTCACGGCCAACACCGGTGACGATTATCTAAACGGATCCCGGGCCTCCCCTAGGTCGACTCAGCCTCAAACGAGTACCTGGTGCGGTGTGTAGTAAACATCGCCACTTGCCCCCAAACAGTCTGTTAAGGCTACACGGGGGATCTTTGCATGTAAGTACTAAACGCTCATAAGTACACACATGCAAGAAACGTTGAGCTGTGGCAAAATGTGCAACGCTCAGCAAAATCTGAGCGCCGATTACATAAAGAATGCATTGTGCGTGTAAACAGAGAGGTTGCCGTGATTACGGGACACGCGGGGTTAAATGACAGGGGTTTTGTTACATTGTAACACACACACACACAACACTGTCCCTCTCCCCATGCACGCGGCGAGCGATGCACGTGGCCTTGCTGATGAGATCCAATGTCCATCGCGTTGTCATTGCACAACTCAGGATCAGAATCTTGATGTCGACTGCAGGAGGAGGAATCCGATGAGCCGTGAAGCTCTTTTTGACAGATGCCCAGTATGGGCGGGTCAGCAAAGTTACAACAGCAAACACAATGACACACAAACACACAATGACACACAAACACAATGACACACAAACACAATGACACACAAACACAATGACACAATGACACAATGACACACAGACACAATGACACGCAGACACAATCACACACAAACACAATCGCACACAGACACAATCACACACAGACACAATGGCACACAAACACAATGACACGCAGACACAATGACACACAAACACAATGACACACAAACACAATGACACACAGACACAATGACACAATGACACACAGACACAATGACATGCAGACACAATCACACAAACACAATCGCACACAGACACAATCACACAATGACACAATGGCACAGACACAATGACACACAAACACAATGACACACAAACACAATGACACACAGACACAATGACACACAAACACAATGAAACGCAGACACAATGACACACACACACAATGACACACAAACACAATGACACGCAGACACAATGACACGCAGACACAATGACACACAAACACAATGACACACAAACACAATGACACACAGACACAATGACACAATGACACACAGACACAATGACACGCAGACACAATCACACACAAACACAATCGCACACAGACACAATCACACACAGACACAATCACACACAGACACAATGGCACACAAGCACGATTACACACAGACACAATGACACACAGACACAAAGACACACAGACACACAGACACAATGACACACAAACACAATGACACACAGACACAATCACACACAAACACAATGACACACAAACACGACAATAGTGCAAAATAGATGAAAAGGTAACATGAAGTCACCAAACCATAATTCAATAATGTTTTTAAGTCCGATTTACCCAGCTTGGACAGGAGGCGACGGTAAATGTTTCACGCTCAACCAATGAAGAACAATCGCGCAAACGCATGGACTCCACGAAGATTTGTGTTCAAATCCAGTGATGCAGTCAAACTTGAACGCCGCGATTTCGTCTTCCCACATTTTGACGTCGTCTCGCAAATCCGCCGTCGTCACGTGATGAGAACCGTCACCCACCCGATCTGCGTCGTGTCAAGCCCCACACCCACGTCCTGTCAAGCCTCACACCCACGTCCTGTCAAGCCTCACACCCACGTCCTGTCAAGCCTCACACCCACGTCCTGTCAAGCCTCACACCCACGTCCTGTCAAGCCTCACACCCACGTCCTGTCAAGCCTCACACCCACGTCCTGTCAAGCCTCACACCCACGTCCTGTCAAGCCCCACACCCACGTCCTGTCAAGCCTCACACCCACGTCCTGTCAAGCCTCACACCCACGTCCTGTCAAGCCTCACACCCACGTCCTGTCAAGCCTCACACCCACGTCCTGTCAAGCCCCACAGCCACGTCGTGACAGACAGGCTGACGGACGTAGTGCGTAAACACTCTCGACCATTCGCCATCTCACTTGGTCACTCGTTTACTTCCCTTGCACTGCAATCTCTCGCCAACTCATTCATCATGAAACTCTCATTCACTGTCACATTCTCTTGTCCAGTCGCTCTTTAATGATCTCATTCTCTGAACTCGTTCACTCACTCATTCATTTATTCTTTTACTTTATTCGCCCATTCACTGACGTCAACTCTCTCACTCACCGTTCCAGTTGCTTGTTCTACCTCTCTGGCTCACTTCATTCACTCTCATCCCTCGTGTTACTCATTCATCACACAGGCCACTCATTCATTGACTTCACCGTACACTCATTCACCGAGTTAGCGATCATGTATTCGTTCAATCGCTCGCTCTCTCACTCATTCAGCAATTTCCTTACGCTCACTCACTCATTCTCTCGCGTGATAGAGAGGATGGGGCGGGGGGGGGATACGAGATGGGATAAAAGAGGGGATGAGAGAGGGGATGATAGGGGGTAAGAGATGAGAGAGAGCAAGAGAGGGGATGGGATGAGAGGGCACGAGAGAGGGGGTAGTAGAAGGAACCCCCACTCACCGTTAGTGGTGCCGTGACCCCGTTGGGACTCTGCGATGAGGTGAGGCTGGCGAGGAGTAAGCAGACCCCGACGAGACGCGGGGCCCAGACCCCAGCAGAGGGACCCCCCCCTCTCCTCCCGGCCAGCATGGCACTTGCCCTGCTGCTCCCCTGCTTGCTCCGAGCTGCGTGCTTCCTCTCTGCTCCTCCTCAGCTCCTCCCTTGCTTGTCCTCTGCTTCCACCTTGCTCCCCTCCTGCTCCCTATCGATCAGCAGCAGCGGCTGTCAGGTCTTAGCACCGCGCCCAATGCAATGTCCCGAAAGCGCCCGTTGCTGGGGCCGCTGTGGTAGTGATGATGGTGGTGATGATGGTGGTGATGAGGTTGGTGATGATGATGGTGGTGATGGAGGGTGCTCCTCTGTGAACTCGCGACTTCACAGCCTCCACGCAAACTCGCAGGCAACTGCACGCGGGGCGGAGAGCAGCGCGCGGACGCTGATGATGCTGATGCTGCTGATTGTGAAGATGCTGATTGTGAAGATGCTGATTGTGAAGATGCTGATTGTGATGATGCTGATTGTGAAGATGATGATTGTGATGATCGAGAGATACGAGCTGCTGCTGCTGATTGTGATGATGTTGATTGTGATGATGCTGATTGTGAAGATGCTGATTGCGAAGATGCTGATTGTGAAGATGATGATTGTGATGATCGAGAGATACGAGCTGCTGCTGCTGCTGATTGTGTTGACGAAGAGAGGCGAGCAGAGCGCGCTGAAGTGCGGTGTAGTTGAGCCCCCCTCCCTCAATCTCCCCTCGCACAGTCCCCCCACTCTCCCCCCTCTCTCTCCCCACTCTCTCCCCACTCTCTCCCCCCTCTCTCACTCTCCCCACTCTCCCTCCCCCTGCTTCTTTCCTCTCTCACGCTCTCTCTCCCTTCTCTCTCTTTCCCCTCAATTCGCCCCCCACCTCTTTGCACTTCACTCTCTCTGCAGCTCTCTCCCCCTTTCCCCATCTTTCCCCCATGGTGACCCCCCCCCCCCTCTCTCTCTCCCCCTGCTCACTCCCCCGGTTGTCCCTCCCTCTCTCCCTCCAATCTCCCCCCTCTCCCCTTTATCGTCCCCCGCTTCCCCCCTCTCTCCCCCTTTTCCCTCTCTCCCCCCAACTCTCTCCCTCTCCTCTCACCCCCCCCCCCCCTTTTCCCTCTCTCTCCGGGCTCTCTCTCTCCCCCATGTTGTTGTGAGATTCACTCAGAGATTGCGTAAAACGAGTGCAGAGCGGGGATTGGTGGAGAGGATTGGGAGATTGAGGTGAGAGAGCGAGAGTTCACGGATGAGTGAGTGGGTGAGAGCGCCAATGCGAGGGAGAGAGAGAGAGAAGGGGTGAGTGAGTTAATGAGAGAGTGAGCATCAGAGTGGGTGATGAGGTGGGTGAGTGCGTGAGCGAGTGGTTGCATGGGTGAATGAGTAGGTGAGTTAGTGGTAGAATGGATGAGTGAATGAGTGACTGAGTAAGTGGTTGAGTGAGTGAGTGGGTGAGTAAATAGGTGAGTGGGTGAGTAGGTGAGTGTTCATACTCAACGGAGCCTCCCATCCCGAAGCCCCATATGGTTCGGGTTAGAAAGGGCGCAAGAATGTGGGATTCAGTCAGCCCCTTTTATCCCCTAACTCTCCTCCCCTCTTTCTCTCATCCCATCTCTCTCTCATTTACTCTCGCCTATCTCTCATCCCCTTTCTCTCTCTCATCCTCTCTCTCTCTCATCCTCTCTCTCTCTCATCCCCCTCTCTGCAATTTACTCTCTGCTCCTCTCCTCTCATTCCCTCCCGCCTCTCTCTTCCTACTCTCCCTTTCTCCTCCCTCTCTCCCCTCTCTTCTGTCGTCCACCAAATTCCGTCTCCACCGTCGCCTCTCTTTCATCCCCTGTCAAATAATCTCATAATCTACGACTTCGTGTCACTGAGAAGGCTGAGAGACAGGGCCATTGACTCACGCATAAAGCCAGATGGTGATGCTGGTGGTTATTTATTTTTATAAAAATTATTCCGCTTGTTTACACAGGGAAGCCTCACTTAGTCTCAATACTTATTTAAAGTATACAGGAGGTCGTGGGTTCGATCCCCGATCCAGACCCTAACGCCTCTATATTCGGAGTTTGCGTGTCTCTCTCCCGATGGTCGCGTGGATTTTTCTCCGGGTCCTCCGGTTTTCCCCTCCACATTTAGAAACTACACGCGTTCAGAGCGTGTTGTTGCTGTCAATGTCCACGTGATAAGCCACTTCGTTGAGCTATCGTTTGTGATAGCCAAGTCGTTTCTGAAAAAGAGCTATATAGCTCAGCGGGCCTTACCTGGTAAATAAAAATTGTTTAGTTAAGGTGATGTTGCTGCTGCTTTGTTTGATCTCAGCTGAGCAACGTGCACGTGATTTCTCAGCATTGGGATGTGGTTTTGGCCAATACCGGTTATATTGTATTGGGCCTTTGTATTTATCAGCTACCGGAGAAGTCGAAGGAAACCCATGCAGAACAAGTGGAGAGAAATATAAACTCCACTCACAGGGAGAGGCGCCCTAGTCGGGAATCGAACCTCGGAAAGGTTATTGGCAGAGGTGTGGACTCGAGTCATGTGACTTGGACTCGAGTCAGACTCGAGTCATGAATTTGATGACTTCAGACTCGACTTGGACTTGCATAACAATGACTTTGTCCCACCTCTGAGGTGTGGACTCGAGTCATGTGACTTGGACTCGAGTCAGACTCGAGTCATGAATTTGATGACTTCAGACTCGACTTGGACTTGCATAACAATGACTTTGTCCCACCTCTGAGGTGTGGACTCGAGTCATGTGACTTGGACTCGAGTCAGACTCGAGTCATGAATTTGATGACTTCAGACTCGACTTGGACTTGCATAACAATGACTTTGTCCCACCTCTGAGGTGTGGACTCGAGTCATGTGACTTGGACTCGAGTCAGACTCGAGTCATGAATTTGATGACTTCAGACTCGACTTGGACTTGCATAACAATGACTTTGTCCCACCTCTGAGGTGTGGACTCGAGTCATGTGACTTGGACTCGAGTCAGACTCGAGTCATGAATTTGATGACTTCAGACTCGACTTGGACTTGCATAACAATGACTTTGTCCCACCTCTGAGGTGTGGACTCGAGTCATGTGACTTGGACTCGAGTCAGACTCGAGTCATGAATTTGATGACTTCAGACTCGACTTGGACTTGCATAACAATGACTTTGTCCCACCTCTGAGGTGTGGACTCGAGTCATGTGACTTGGACTCGAGTCAGACTCGAGTCATGAATTTGATGACTTCAGACTCGACTTGGACTTGCATAACAATGACTTTGTCCCACCTCTGAGGTGTGGACTCGAGTCATGTGACTTGGACTCGAGTCAGACTCGAGTCATGAATTTGATGACTTCAGACTCGACTTGGACTTGCATAACAATGACTTTGTCCCACCTCTGAGGTGTGGACTCGAGTCATGTGACTTGGACTCGAGTCAGACTCGAGTCATGAATTTGATGACTTCAGACTCGACTTGGACTTGCATAACAATGACTTTGTCCCACCTCTGAGGTGTGGACTCGAGTCATGTGACTTGGACTCGAGTCAGACTCGAGTCATGAATTTGATGACTTCAGACTCGACTTGGACTTGCATAACAATGACTTTGTCCCACCTCTGAGGTGTGGACTCGAGTCATGTGACTTGGACTCGAGTCAGACTCGAGTCATGAATTTGATGACTTCAGACTCGACTTGGACTTGCATAACAATGACTTTGTCCCACCTCTGAGGTGTGGACTCGAGTCATGTGACTTGGACTCGAGTCAGACTCGAGTCATGAATTTGATGACTTCAGACTCGACTTGGACTTGCATAACAATGACTTTGTCCCACCTCTGAGGTGTGGACTCGAGTCATGTGACTTGGACTCGAGTCAGACTCGAGTCATGAATTTGATGACTTCAGACTCGACTTGGACTTGCATAACAATGACTTTGTCCCACCTCTGAGGTGTGGACTCGAGTCATGTGACTTGGACTCGAGTCAGACTCGAGTCATGAATTTGATGACTTCAGACTCGACTTGGACTTGCATAACAATGACTTTGTCCCACCTCTGAGGTGTGGACTCGAGTCATGTGACTTGGACTCGAGTCAGACTCGAGTCATGAATTTGATGACTTCAGACTCGACTTGGACTTGCATAACAATGACTTTGTCCCACCTCTGAGGTGTGGACTCGAGTCATGTGACTTGGACTCGAGTCAGACTCGAGTCATGAATTTGATGACTTCAGACTCGACTTGGACTTGCATAACAATGACTTTGTCCCACCTCTGAGGTGTGGACTCGAGTCATGTGACTTGGACTCGAGTCAGACTCGAGTCATGAATTTGATGACTTCAGACTCGACTTGGACTTGCATAACAATGACTTTGTCCCACCTCTGAGGTGTGGACTCGAGTCATGTGACTTGGACTCGAGTCAGACTCGAGTCATGAATTTGATGACTTCAGACTCGACTTGAACTTGCATAACAATGACTTTGTCCCACCTCTGAGGTGTGGACTCGAGTCATGTGACTTGGATTTGAGTCAGACTCGAGTCATGAATTTGATGACTTCAGACTCGACTTGGACTTGCATAACAATGACTTTGTCCCACCTCTGAGGTGTGGACTCGAGTCATGTGACTTGGACTCGAGTCAGACTCGAGTCATGAATTTGATGACTTCAGACTCGACTTGGACTTGCATAACAATGACTTTGTCCCACCTCTGAGGTGTGGACTCGAGTCATGTGACTTGGACTCGAGTCAGACTCGAGTCATGAATTTGATGACTTCAGACTCGACTTGGACTTGCATAACAATGACTTTGTCCCACCTCTGAGGTGTGGACTCGAGTCATGTGACTTGGACTCGAGTCAGACTCGAGTCATGAATTTGATGACTTCAGACTCGACTTGGACTTGCATAACAATGACTTTGTCCCACCTCTGAGGTGTGGACTCGAGTCATGTGACTTGGACTCGAGTCAGACTCGAGTCATGAATTTGATGACTTCAGACTCGACTTGGACTTGCATAACAATGACTTTGTCCCACCTCTGAGGTGTGGACTCGAGTCATGTGACTTGGACTCGAGTCAGACTCGAGTCATGAATTTGATGACTTCAGACTCGACTTGGACTTGCATAACAATGACTTTGTCCCACCTCTGAGGTGTGGACTCGAGTCATGTGACTTGGACTCGAGTCAGACTCGAGTCATGAATTTGATGACTTCAGACTCGACTTGGACTTGCATAACAATGACTTTGTCCCACCTCTGAGGTGTGGACTCGAGTCATGTGACTTGGACTCGAGTCAGACTCGAGTCATGAATTTGATGACTTCAGACTCGACTTGGACTTGCATAACAATGACTTTGTCCCACCTCTGAGGTGTGGACTCGAGTCATGTGACTTGGACTCGAGTCAGACTCGAGTCATGAATTTGATGACTTCAGACTCGACTTGGACTTGCATAACAATGACTTTGTCCCACCTCTGAGGTGTGGACTCGAGTCATGTGACTTGGACTCGAGTCAGACTCGAGTCATGAATTTGATGACTTCAGACTCGACTTGGACTTGCATAACAATGACTTTGTCCCACCTCTGAGGTGTGGACTCGAGTCATGTGACTTGGACTCGAGTCAGACTCGAGTCATGAATTTGATGACTTCAGACTCGACTTGGACTTGCATAACAATGACTTTGTCCCACCTCTGAGGTGTGGACTCGAGTCATGTGACTTGGACTCGAGTCAGACTCGAGTCATGAATTTGATGACTTCAGACTCGACTTGGACTT